TAATAATGAACGTTTAAAGAAGAGGAAGTGTGTCTCCGCCTACTTTTAATATTGGCCAATCAGTTTCAAAATTTTACAATATTTTTTTACACTTTTTCTTAGAAATATGACAAAGGACTATCTATATTTAAAGAAAGTTTTTATTCAGCATAAGAACTAAAAAAATAGTACTATTCATAAAAACTAATAGTGTTAAACTCTTTTACACTTTTTAAACTCTGTTTTTTAAAGATTTTATAGTCATTATTGGCTTGTTTTTTTGAAAAATTGAAGTTTTATATTATCCAAAAGTCAGAAAGGANTATTATGTGATATATATCCAGATAGGCAATACACGACGTTAACGTGCTTTTCATATCAACGCGTTAACAAAGAATATTACGAGGCGAAGCGAATATTTCACCGCCCCCATCACAACCCAGAAGACATTATTATCACTAAGCTATCATTACCCGTGCATATATCACGTTCTTCACGAAATACAACGCCCTTATATCGTATCTTGTGTCCGGAATTCGTGTAACTAACCCAAAGCGACTTATGACCATTGACGAATACTAATTTTTCGTTACACGACAACTAAAGATAATGGCTTCTTCAATGGTGGAAAACTATCTATTAAAGTCAATTATCGTTGGCTAAATGATTTTTATAAATAGTTACGGACTGTTTCTTTGGTAAAGTGTTTTGCGCTTCAAATTACCGGACCTTAGTTTTACGAACAATTCGGCATCGCTAAGTAAACCATTCTCTTCAAGGTAATAAATTATTCCGAAGGACAAAAAGATGACTTGTGAATTCCGAAACGGTTTACTGATCCTTTAATCTAAAGATTCTCTAAGAAAATCGATTCACTGTTTCATAAAATCGTAAAAACAACGTTTGAAAAATCAACTTTTCTCGTACGCGTAACGTAACTTGAGCCACAAAAGCATTGAATGACGTAATAGGGTGATATATCCTACGTAACAGGTTGCTTCTGTTTTTACTGCTTACGACGTTGTTCGCGATAACACAATAGAATTGAAAGGATTAAATTTAAACATTGTCTAAGAATTTTATATTTTACAATTTTATTATAATTATTGGCTTAATAAATGATTACCAAACCATTTTATAGTAACAGAAGAAAAAATAAACTATCTGCTGTGACATATGCACTAGAATGGATTTTATATGCCATAAAGCCGTACAATGTACTGTATATATCAATTAAATTTAAGTTGTAATACAGTACAAAAATATCATCGTCAGTTTTGAAGATCCCGTCATATGATAGAGCGCTGCAAAATGATTAAACTTATCCGATATCATAAACGTTTTACAAATAAATGGAAAAACGTATAATTAATATAAACTTTTCATAAAAATATTTTATTAAAATTTATAATAATTCAAATTATTTATAACCTGAATAAAAGTATCATCTACTTCTTGGAAATCGTTTTCAATTCTGTTATTGAGACAAGCAAGAGTTATGCTTGTGAACGAATGAAAACTAAACGACAAAAGATCAAGTTACTCGATTTACGACATTATCTACAATTTTTAAACGAAAATAAGAAGCGGTAACGAATTCTTGAATCGACAAGAATTTAATTAACTATAATTTCATTTAAAGTTATGTTTACGCACGAGTTTATTTTTCGTTTTAAATTAGACAAATTAAATTACTTTAAAGTGCATTTTTAAAATTCTTAATATACTATTTATTTAAAATTAATTGGAGTTTTGGGTAAAATTTTTTGATTTTTTTAATTTTTTTGTTATATTTTCTTACCTGTTCTCTAGGATTATTTGGAGATTGTCCAGTTTTAGAATCGTAAAGAGCTCGGTGGAATGGCATATATTTAGCTCCTTTGCAATTTCTATCGTAAGTTGTATCACAACGATCAATTTTAACTCGATGCACTTCTATGGGACATCCAGGTTCACTCGCCATTAGTATTTCTGAGGTTACAACTTGACCTAAAATAAATGATGTAGCTTAAAAGATGTTCTGCTTATTTTAATAAAAACAATAATCTTCCATTTCGAAAATTAATATTACCAAAGAAAGCAAACAATGCTGTCAGATTACGAATAGATCCTTGACCATCTTCACCATTTAAAATCTGTAAACTGATTTTTCGAGCATTTGGACGATCAATGCCAGACATCATGTAAACACCATCAGAATACGATGAAGGTGCTCTTCTAGTAAGTTGGCTTTCTATAAGAAAACAAGAATATTATTGAGTAATTAAGTATATATAAACAGGGACGGATTTAGAGGTGTGTAGGGCGCAGCTGCACCCCTCTCTGAGTAGTAAAAGTCAACATATCGTTTCCTTTCTGACACCATGTAAAGATCTCTGGATCCGCTATTGCATATAAATATTTATTTTTATACGTACTGTACATTTAATATATTAATTTCCCTTATAATTTGAATCATGAAAATAATGTGCGCTGTCGCAATGGATTGCTCTTATTCTACACAATTGTTTACACATCTTTCACATGAACAGAATAAGTTTTCAAAATGTGTTTATATATATATATATATATTTTTTTAAAATAAACACTGAGCCATAAATTTGCATTTTTGTCGAAAATATTTAATGAAAGTTTTAATTAATAGGAAACACGAAAAGCATGGATTAACATTATATTCACGCATTTCTGATCCACACGTTATGTGACTCTTCACATTTATAGGTGAGAGGGAGGTCAAATGATCGCGTGAATCAGGAAAGTTTGAATGTCATATAAGCGTGAATCGGTATTTTGTATTCCATTTACAACACACGTGAAAGTGTGTGACGATAACGTCATCAGAATTTAATTTTTCTGTCATATCGAGTGTCATAATAAAGTGATCAGCAAGAATAACATGGAGAAATTCGTAAAAAAATTATTTTAAAAATATTGACTACATCACATCTATTAAGAAAATGCTAATGGAAAACCTAAAATTAACCCAGATTCGCTTCGTATGACATGAAAAAAACCCAATTATTTTCTAAGAATTTATTCAACCATAATTAAAGGTCAAGGTATCTAAATAGCATTCTTTTTTAGATTCATTATTCTGTTTTATTTGGTAATATATTCCTATTTTGTTAGCAAATCGATCATAATATAATCATTATTGCAGCATAAGTATTCCACGAAATAAATACGTATTATAATCTATTAGAAATTTGTTTCAACAATTACCTTTATTCAAGTATCAATATCATTGAAGATACTTATTAAGTGATTGAAATCTAGTATGTTGTTCCATAATTACAATTGCTTACATCAGATGACTTGCACTCATCTGTTGAAAGCATAAAGCTAAATGGTGTCATGAAATTAAGAAATGAAATATTAGATTGATTTTTTAAACGATTTGGTGTCATGATTTACTATAAAACTGAATAATTTACCCTGGTGATTTTAAGTAACAGGTCTCGTCCTTATCGAATAGAATTTAAAATTATGAATAATAATTTAAATTTTAAATACTTTCTAATAAATTACATTTAATTAGAATATGTAACTTTTTAACTCGATTGTACAATTGATTTTTCTGTTAAACCCTTTCAAACGGAACCCTCAGACGATGATCTCACCGTTTAACTGTTTAAAATGAGTTGACCTATATCTCGGGGCTAAAATCCGATTCTTAAAGAAAGTAATAGTTTTGTGTTGCTTCCTAAATATTAATATTCAGAATATACACTATCATCGAAATTTCCTGTATGGGTAACATAGACAAAGTATCGAGATCATACAAAAGTTTTGATTGACGCCCGATGACTCTTCGGGCGTTATTAGAAACCAGTGTAGGACCCGAATTATTGACGTATTAATATTACTTAAAAGGGTGTTTTTAACCTATTTTAACAAATTTTTACAAAGAAACTGCTTGATTTTGTTTGTTAACATTTTAAAAATTAGCTTGCGAAACAATATTTTCGTGTATTCTGCTTTTATCTAATATATCTTGTATGAAAAATACAGGTTTACAGTGAAAATATATAATTTGGAAGTCCTATTTTGTAGTCTTGTATATTAACAAATCAGATTTTAAAACTAACTTGTTACAATGAACTCGTGCAGTCTCTAAATGATACATCTTACTTTTCTAAGAAGTAGG